TTTGGAGGATCAAGTTGCTTTACATCACAGATGAAGTACCCGGGGTCCATGTGAAAGGAAGTAGCCTCCAATTTCTGTTTCTTAGCTACTAATTATTTAATAATACATTTTATTGCCTATTAAAATGTGGCATAACTTGCTTGTCAGCAAAACTATATGGAACCTAATCATTTGAGGAGAAGGATAATTGGCACTTGTACAGATGGCTTTTATTGCAAGTTGAATTTGTTATTGCAGATAGAATTCCTGGCCAAGTTTCTTGGTTCTGTTTGCAGGCTGGTCAATGTTGTGAGGGGTTTACTGTGTTACAGCCCAGGCGGTTAAATGTGGCATTATTGCAAATGCAGTATGTACTCAGTTATAGATCATAAAGCCTTCTGCTGTGTAGGTATTTTTCCTTCTCCTTAACCCGCCCCCTACTTCTGGTTTTAAAGGACCCTAGTGAGTTTTGTGCCACACTGAAAATCACCTTATGTGCTGGAAAATGCGTCAGTGGAGACTTTGTTTAAACAAAGGGTGTTTTTATGATGGATAGAAGTAGCCAAGACTTCTGGATTTCAATCCAGTAAAAATTTGTATAGGAAAATTGGACCAGTCCCAGTTCCTTAGTAGAATTTCACCAAGGCTTTCCTGCTGCTTCAGAATGACCCCTCAAGGGGTATTACATGAATTCCAGAAAATAGCTCCCAGGGATTCCTGGGGCACATTTAAAAAGAGGGGGATGCATTGTGTGTGGGATAATTTGGTGGCAGGATTAGTTCGTGGGTGGAACAGAGGGGATCCCAAGTACTGGGCTCAGTGGGAAGTGCTAGCTGCTGCATGCCACAGGCAGGTCCTGCAAGCACTCTGCATGAAACACCTTGGTGTCGTGGAGACTGCGTAGACCATGCCAGGCAGCGTGCCTTGCATGACTAGGGCGCTGAGCCTGGCCTTCTGATTTGGAAATCTCAGCTTAAGTTCAGACTCAGGAGGAGCATTTCAAACCTCAGCAATGCAGGTTGCCACACATTCTCTGGAGGCCCTACTCATCCCTTACTACCTTGTTGCTGTTCTTCCATCTCCCAGTAGAACTCCTGAGGCCCAGCCTCCCCAACCATAGTCTCCTGTCTGCCTGCTGTCTCCCTCGCCAGCTGCACGCCTCTTCCCCTCAAAGACAGGGACTCTCTGGATCTTGACTCTTCCTGCTAGAGGTCCAAACCCTCATGCAGTGGAGGCCTACATGTCACACCAGTCAGCACAGGACCATTTTACCCATGGAAAGGAGTTTCTGGACTCCATGCTTTAGAACATCAGTGTGCAGTAAGCTTGGTGTGCAGAGCTCTGTTTCTTAGGGGTTGAGGTTGGGAATTACTATAATTTAATGTCTATCATAAATGTGTCAAATGAAGGACCAAAGCTAGGCCTAAGGTTCAGTGTGCTGTGTGAAGGGTGGGCATTACACATGGTCATTAAATTTTCTTGAGCATAAGCTACTGGCAAGTGTAAGCCAGCCGGTTAAAAAGGTGTGTGTGGGATGGAACGTACAGCTACACCATGCCTGGGGATCCGGTGGGGAATGTGCAGATCCTCAGATCAGTGATGGCTTGGAGGTTGACAGTGGCCTGGAGTCTGGGATGTGGGTGGTCATGGCCCACAGCTGCTATGTGAGGTTATTGTATGGGTGGGCAGAGGTGTGTATGTGTGTGTGTGTGTGTGTGTGTGTGTGTGTACCTGTTGAACTTCTGTGTCCTGGAGTAGTGGACTCTTCTTGAGTTGCTTTGTAAATCATGAGTTTCGGCTGTAGGATTCTCTGATCAGCTCTCATCTGGGTGTCCTTCCTGTGGTTGATCAAGGTGAAGTGACCAAAATGAAGGGTAAGGGTTTTCTGTGCCACACTGTGAAGTGCCATTAAATCCCTTCCATCCTGTGCCAGCCGACGGAGGCCCACCTCACTTCTCTCTTTTTCACTTAAGGCTCTTTGCAGCACCACAAGGAGCTTGGCTCCCCGAGGGAGGCACTGCATCTCACCACTCCAGCAAGCAGTAGCCTCTTGCCTGACCTCAGGCCCACAGGGGAGGCACCAACAGCATAGCCTGCCCTCCAGGGAAGGTCCCCAGGGTGACTACTTGCACAGGCCCTGGACTGGAAGAAGCTTAGGTCATCCAGGAAGGAGAGTCCTGTGATTCTGACATGCAGAACACTGTCCCAAAGGAGGCACATTCAAGATATGTGGTCTATCCCCATGACCCCCATGGATTCTTACTGTTGGAGAAGGGCATGGCTGGAGGGTCCCCCAAGAAGGGCCTCCTTTTGGCACATCTTGGCATGGGCTCAATTGTCTGAATATGAGCAACATTACATACACCTTTCCATTTTAATCTTTATTTATTTTTTAATTAATTAGATTTTTTTAAAATTTTTATTTATTTATTTATTTTTTGGTACCAGGGATTGAACCCAAGGGTGCTCAACCACTGAGCCACATCCCTAGCCCTTTCTATTTTGAGACAGGGGTTTACTAAGTTGCTCAGGGCCTTGGGTTTGCTGAGGTTGGCTTTGACTTGTGATTCTCCTGACTCGGCCTCCCTAGCTGCTGAGATTACAGGTGTGTGCCACCACACCTGGCTAGCTCCATTTTAATCTTGATAACTTCATTCTTTATGTCCTGCAAAAGCAAACTGAAATTAAAAATACACAATGGATCTAAATATTGTACAGAAATACTAAGTGGATGAGTTATTATTAACTCATTATTGTCTTGGCATACAAGACATGAAGGCTTAGTCATCAAAGTATACTATGGGAAGTCAAGTGGAGTCTTGGTAAAGATGTTCTGTAGCACATTTTATATAAGAAATGTGCTTTTTCCAACAGCATTGAAGGTGTAATGTACTGCTACCCAGACATGAGGGATACCCCGCCATGATATACCATGCAAGGCCCATGTCAGGAAAGCTGGCTGTAGACGACATTAAGAATGTCTTCCACTTCAGGAATCCATGGAGTAAATAAAGCATTATATTGACATAGTTCAAAATTATAAAGCAGTTGGAAGTTTTGTGACATTTTTAAACACACCTTTGTTCTGTTTCTTTAAATAATGAGAATAATTGCTTTGTTACTTGAGAGTATTTTAGTGTCCAAACATTTCATGAAACTCACCCTACCTCCAAACATAAGTATGTTTCATGGACTTTTAAAATCAGGTTAACTGGACCCAAACTCCACCAAGGAAGCAAAGTAGAATGTTTTCTCTACTGTTAATGATACTGGAAATTCTGACATTGGTGTGGAAGTGATAATCCTTCAAGTATTTGAATGTCCTCATCAGTTGTCATTTGTTTTCAGGGGTAAGGAAGCTCATGTTCTTAATGACACTGATTTTAAAAGAGATAAGTTACAGAGTTCTGTCATTGTCACCTGGTAGATGGTGGCTGATGTTGTTTATTGTGAAATGATACAGTTTATCTTCAAAAGAAAGAGAAAATGCTTCCTGTGAAAGGGAAATTAGGCAAGTACCTTGAACTGGATTCTTGTCAATCCACTTTTCTTAACATCTCAAGAGTAGTGAGTGTTAGGAGAACATATTTTCAGCTCTTTACCTAGGAAAATGATCTCTGTACCTGCGTCAGGTAGTCAGGAGGTAAAGGTATATGCCCAGCACCCAGCCTCCAGTAGCCTCAAGTCAGCTGCTTTCCCACAGAACCAACTCATGAGAAGCCAGGCAGACCTTCTGACTCTTTGCAGTGGCTTCCCGCTCTCTTCACTGTAGACTGGACTCCTCTTCTGAGGTCCCCTTGCCAGTGGGACAAAGAGGGAACTGAGTGAGCCAGGACATACGAGTCACCATGTGAAATCCTTCCCCCAAAGGCTTGAACTGTGCTTGCAAAAAGGCTCATTGTTACCCTTCCACCCAAAGCCTCTGAGCTGTTCTTCATAGATTCAGCCTCATTGTCAGGATGTTCACTATTTTCTCTCCAAAAAGATTCCCTACACAAAAATTACCATTTCCCTATCAACTGGTCTTGGATCTGCCTGTATTCCCAGTGCCATCTCTTGGGTTCTTAACTCCACTTGAGTAAAGTGTGTGTAACAGATTTGTTTAAAAGGATCAGCAGCTCTCATATAGATCAGATCCTCGAAGATTAAAGTAATAATCATGATAGAGCAAAGTACTTGGCTAGTGATTTTTGACCTGGTGATTTTTTTGTTTTTGTTTGGTTGGGTTTTTTTGGTTTGGTTTGGTTTGGTTTGATTCCGAGGATTGAACCTAAGGTCACACATTGAACTATATTCCTAGCACTGTCTGTCTACCTACTTACCTACCTACCTACCTTTCTACTTATTTATTTGTTTATAGACAGGGCCTTGCTAAGTTGCTGAGGCTAGTTTTGAATTTGTCATCCTCCTGCCTCAGCTTCTAGAGTTGCTGAGATTACAGTTGTGTGCCATCTCTCTTGGTCAGTGTTCATTTTCATTTGCTTCAGCCTTCTGTCCTTTAACCCCATCATCTGTGGGCCTATATATGTTCATGACTGTTTGCCATGCTTCTCTGGGCTTCCTAAGTTTTGATGCTTTGGTCTACATAATGACTACGTTCCTAAGATGTCCTCACCACCATAGAAGAATCTAATATACTTGGAATTCTCTAGCAGCATCTCAAAAATGCCAAATCATAGAGTCCAAAGAGATCATCACCACAAAAGAAGCAAGGATAAGATGAGCAGGACTAGGGGTCAGACATGCAAGTACATCAGTGGAGAATAACACACATGTCCCTGGTGGAAGTAGGCAGGAGACAGGTCCACCTGGGACTTTTCCAAGTCTGCAAGATACTAAAAAGAATACTGAAATCAGAAAGCTTCAAGAAGATTTTGTGTGTATGTTCACATACTCATCAGTATGTATACATATGCATATTTATGTGTTTACATATGCACATAACATACATTCATATAAAGGATCATCTACCTGTAGCGCTGGCGGGCTGCAGCGGCTCCACATGCTCCTGGCCACCGGTTGAAACCATTGGCAGGCACCGGCTGAGGACAAGAGTTAAAGCCTATCTTGGATAGAGAGTATTTAACCATTTAGGTAAAATGGTATTTTTTACATGCAATGCATGTGGTGAATCAGTGAAGAAAATACAAGTGGAAAAGCATGTGTCTGTCTACAGAAACTGTGAATGCCTTTCTTGCATTGACTGCGCCTGCGGTAGAGACTTCTGGGGTGATGACTATAAAAACCACGTAAAGTGCATAAGTGAAGATCAGAAATATGGTGGCAAGGGCTACGAAGGCAAAGCCCACAAAGGCGACATCAAGCAGCAGGCCTGGATCCAGAAAATTAATGAATTAATAAGGAAACCCAATGTCAGCCCCAAAGTGAGAGAACTGTTAAAGCAAATTAGTGCTTTTGACAACGTTCCCAGGAAAAAGGCCAAATTTCAGAATTGGATGAAGAACAGTTTAAAAGTTCATAATGAATCCATTCTGGAGCAAGTGTGGAATATCTTTTCTGAAGCTTCCAGCGATGAGCCATTTAGTAAGGGGCAAGATCAGCAGCCTCTTAACCAAGTGGCAAAGTCATGTTCAGAAGCCTCCACCAAGACTCCAGCGTCCTCCAAGGCTAATGACTCCACAGAAAAGCCAGCAGAGGCAAAGAAGAATAAAAGAGAAAGGAAGGAAGAACGGCAGAAGAACAGAAAAAGAGAAAAGAAAGAACTGAAATTATAAAATCATCAGGACAATTCAAGGAGCCAAAAGCCCAAGAAGTGCAAAAAAGGACAGGAGGCTGACCTTGAGGCTGCAGGGGAGAGGGGGTCCACGGCCAATGGCTCCATAGGGAAGAAGGGCAAGAAGAAGAAGGGCCAGGGCAAGCAGGCAAGAGAGGCGGACGCCAACAGAGTCAGGGGCCCCAAGGAGGACCCCAGCAAGGTGGAGATGAAGGCCACTGTGGGAAGAAGGAAGCGGAAGCACTCGATAGCTGAAGCAGATTCTAAGATGAAAAAGATGAAGTTCCCAGGACAACCTGAGGCTGGAGAAGCAGAGGACGATGAATGAAGCTCCTAAGAAAGGTAAATTCAACTGGAAGGGAACTATTAAAGCGGTCCTGAGACAGGCCCCGGATGGTGAGCTGTCGATCAAGAAGCTAAGGAAAAAGGTTTTAGCTCAATATTACATGATGACAAACGACCGTTACAGATGTGAAGAGGAGCTCTTGATCATCTTCAACAAGAAAGTCAGCAAGAACCCCACCTTCAAGTTAATAAAGGACAAAGTCAAGCTTCTGAAATGAGCATTTCATACTTAGAAACTGAGCCCATTCTGTTGACTTCTTCCTCTTACTGCTGTTTGTAAAGTGTGTAGGGAATTAGAACAACTCAAATCTTGTTTTATGAAGCTGTATTTTTAAGTTAAGGAAAAAATATATTTTTGTTAGAACTTTTATGAAAAAAAATATATTCTTGCCAAAAAAAAAAAAAAAAAAAAAAAAAAAAAGGATCATCTACCCTCATACACCATCAGCCACATGCGGAGAGAGTTTTAGTTTAAGGTGGACTTAACCTTCGGGATTGAACCCAAAGGTGCTTAACCACTGAACCATACTCCCAGCCCTTTTTGTTTTTTATTTTGAGTCAGGCTCTCACTAAGTTACTCAGACTGGCTCTGAACTTGTGGTCCTCCTCTCTCAGCCTGCCCAGTTGCTGGGATTACCAGGTGTGTACCACCATACCCAGTGACCCTCTGACAATTCGAAAGGAAGAGTCTGTGAAATGATCATCATGCAAGCCTGCGGAGCCTTTCTTGGAAGACACACAGCCACAGACACTTCATCACAGACTCCAACCTTTGCAGACCTCAGGACTCCTCTGCTGTGCTTTGTTGTCAAACTTGAGGACAGCCGGAGAGGGTGGAGGGGCTCCAATAAATCCAAACCCGAGCAGCATGGGGAGGGACCCGAGTGGATCCCCAAGTACCTGCCTTTCCCTCCTGTTCTTCCTCCTCCTTTTCCCTCATTTTTCTGTTTTGTTTCTTCCTTTACTCTTTTTCCACATCAGAAAAGGCTTAGCAGAGACTTTTTTCCTTTTCTCTCTTTTTCTTTTTTTGTGCTCTACTACTGAGTCATAACCCCAGTCCTGTCATTTTTTTAATTTTGAGATAGGGTTTTGCCAAATTGCTTAGACTTCTGCCCTAGGTAGCTGGGATTTCAAGCATGTGCCAGTTCACCAATGCATTTCAAATCCTGTATATTTCAGGACTTGAAAACACAGTGAAATCCTGAAATACCATAGTTATGAGCCAGTTTTTAAACACTTCTTTTCAGGGAAATGGAAACATTCCTTACAATCTTACTGCAAATAAATACATTCTTGAGTATTCTAAGCCAGAAGAAATTCATTCAAAGAAGTTGGAGTAATTATTTGTACATGAAGAAAAAATGGTTGGTCCTTTTGTCCTTCTCTTCCTCTCTCCCTCCATCTTTTCCTCTCTTCCTCCCTTCCTAGTTAAATTTTTAAAATCTAGTTAGATATTTTTTAAGGAGGAGAAATGTCAACATTGTATATTCCAGCACATTCCAAACACTTCGTATAGCTCCTGGCTTTATTCACTTAAAACATTTTTTCCAGGAACTGTGTAGCATACAAAACCATAGAGAAACATAAGTGGCACTGGTGAGCGTGGCGGCATCCACTGTTAGTTGGGAGAGAAGCAGGACCTCACCTGAAGTGCAGAAAGATAAATTATATCAATGATACTGAGATGACACCAGCCCCATTTACAATCAAGGAAATGGTCTTTGTGAAACATGTCCACTCACTCTTTTCCTCTGTGTGTATAAATGTTTTGTTAATGCACAGGTGGTAATGATGCCCCCCCAATATTTTGATGAACAAGATATCTTTTTATCATATTAACTGTTGTTCGACATCTGTTTTGATTCATTTTGTCCCTTCACTAATCCTTAATTGCTAAACATTTAGGATCCGGTCAGTATTTCATTTATGTGTTCATTAAATGACTTTCACATTCCTTTAGAAAACATATTCTTGGAATGAAATTTCTATACCAAAAGGAATGAAAATCATGAAGTTGTTGATAATGTTATTTTTTAACTGCTCCGAAGTAAATATTACATCTTTCTTATAAATAAGTACTTATTTAAGGGGCTGGGGTTGTGGCTCAGTGGCAGAACACCTGCCTGGCACATGTGAGGAACTGGGATCAATCCTCAGCACCACATAAAAATGAATAAACAAAATAAAGATATTTCATTCATCTATAACTAAAAATATTTTTAAAAAATAAGTATTTATTTAAATGAAAATATTCATGCAGATGCAATAGCCAAGTGTTATATGAGTGGCTGCAATTCTCTTATAACTCATCAGATATTTACATAATGAATTCCACTTGGCAGAGTTCTCCATGTTTATTGTCACCCATGTGCTTCATACTTGCACTAGTCAGCTTCCCATTACTGTGACAAAACACCTGAGAAGATTAACTTACATGGAGGATTTAGGTTCATGATTTCAAGAGCCTTCAGTCCATGGTCAGTTGGCCACACTGCTCTTGGCCTGCAAAAGTATAGTACACTGCTATATTCCTGTGGTACAGAGGAAGGATCTGGGGTATACTGTCCCCTTCAAGGACATGCCCTAGTAGTCTAACTTCCTCCCACTAGGACCTGTTCCCCTTAAGGTCTCACCACCTTCCAGAAGCACCATTAGCTGGGGATCTTGCCTTCAACACTGAGCCACAACCCGTTGGAGGCTATTTAAGATCCAAACTCTAACAAACCCTGTTCTCTCAAGCTTTACTGAATTCTGTACTTTAAAAAATCAAAATAGGGCTGGGGTTGTGGCTTAGTGGTAGAGCACTTGCCTAGCACGTGTGTGGCCCTGGGTTCAACCCTCAGCACCACATAAAAATAAATGAATAAAACAAAGCTATAAAAGAAAGAAAAGTAAATATTTTTAAAAAATCAAAACAACAGAAATAAAACAACTCAGTTCCAATCACAGTTCGTCCTGAAGAGCTTCCAAGACTCCCAGACTCTTCTTTTGCCACTTATAGCTCTCTTTTAGCCTGTTCATCTCCTTTGTCAATTGCTATCTTTTCAGTTACCTTTTAGGAACAGAATTCTATTTCTTTTAATTCATCATGAACTACTGAGCATCAGAGATCATGCCCCAGGTTGTTCTGTGCACAGAGCCAACACAGTACCATGCACTTCATGGGGTTGCCATTTATTTTAATGATTACCCAATCTGTTTTCTTTTTATCTCAGCAGGGCACATGGAAGGTCATGGTCACGTTGATGATAATCAAATGCCATCAAATGTAATGTTGACCATTTCTTTCTTACTTTGATTTGAAAGCAGGAGAGATTGGCCCACTGAGAAAGAACTACAGCTGTCTATATCACATAAGAAAAATGCATGTAGTTCCTAGTACATTCAGTAAATGGGGGATTTTTTAAATGAACTCCAAACTGATACTCATCTCTTAGTGTATGGTGCCAGGCAGATATTCACTTTTGTTTCTCTTCATTTCCTGGCTTGAGTTGAGTAATTGAGACTAGTTAATTCTATTTGGTCATAAACATTCAAGTATTGGAGAAAGAGGCAGAACTGTGGCTTAAATGTTCAACAGTTTTAAATAAATAAAATATCATTCGATTGGTTTCAATAGGTCTCTTTTTTTTTTTTTTGTACCGGGGATTTAATCCAGGGTATTAACAACTCAGCCACATCCCCAGCCCTTCTTATTTTTTATTTTGAAACAAGATCTCACCAAGTTGCTAAGGTTGGCTTTGAACTTGTAATCCTCCTGCCTCTGCCTCCCAAGCCTCTGGGATTACAGGTGTGTGCCATGCACTCAGTGGTTTGGATAAGTCTGAATGCTAAGATTTTTGGTGAGCTCAGTTTGAGCTGGTATTCCTCTAGAAATACTACTACTAAAGGTATAATTGGAATGATACTTTTTCTGCATGTGCTGTAGCTCATTTTAGATATGGAAATGTAGAAAGGTGTTGGGAGAGCCTGTTATCAAAACAATTAATAGGAATTTTAAAAAGTAATTGTTAGTGATTTTTTTTCCCTTGTAAGATATCATCTGAAGAAAGGACATTTGATGAAAGAACTGGCTCAAATATTTCTCCCAGTGTCTACTTATCTGACCTGAATCTTGCACTTTACTCTCTGGAAGAGAGGTCAGTTCTGTCACCAAGTAGCGTACAGTTCTCAAATCCCATCAGACCACAGGGTTCAGAGATGTGCTTATTTTGATGCCTTTCATGAGTCAGAGAAATAAAGCTTAAACTCAGAGCCAGTTTAAAAAAATCACATTCACTCTTGCATCTGACTTGTAGAGACCAAAGGTTCAAAGAAAATTATTTTACAATGCAGCAAACACAATGGAGACTTGTAAAGAACCTGCAATTGACAGGGAAGTTAAATGGTGTTTTTAAAGGCTAGAAGTCCACATGTTCCTTCTATTTGTGTCTGGCTTCAGCATGCTCTTAATAATGCAGTGTGTACTTACTTATTGATCAGACCACTTAAGCACCAAGACATGAGAAAGGGGACACTGTTGTCTGGCAATTGACCATATTGGAGACTTAAGTGTTCTGACAAGGAAGTAAGTGTGTTTAAGCTTCAGATAAGATAAATTTTAAGATAATACCTACTTTGGTAATGAACCAAAGCTGCTAAAAAAAACTTTATGGTCCATAAAGTTTTTTTGATGACAACTACTTTAGTGTTAATGACGAGATTTATTTCCTGAGAGCCATTGGTCTTCCAGGGAAACCTGAAAAAGAATCACTAACTCCCATGCCTTGGACAAAAGCTCAGATGGAAAGAGACGGTGCTGAGCAGCACCAGCTGTAGAGTGGTCATTGGGCTAGGAAGAACCGCTAGAGTATCAATCCGGTGTCAGCCACCACCTTACTGTCTAGGGCTCCCAGGGTGACATCTCACTGGAAGGGACTTATGTTCCAGTACAATGCTTTCCAACCTTGCTTTATGTGTCACACCTCTAACCAAACTTACGTGAGACCTTCACTTAGGAAAAGAAGGGTACCTACCACAAGTCCTTCTGCCCTTGAGTCCTCCCCAAGAGCTCACTGAACACAGCTTAAAGCCCCCTTTTGTTAGGGACCCATCCGTAAACAAATACCACAGTGCATTACAAATGATGCAATAGGAATATAATCACAGTTGACAAGAGAATATAAAGATGGGTATGGCCAAAGTCACCTGCAAGTGACTTCCTAGAGGACACCTCTTTGACTTGTCTTGATGGAATGTAGACCTTCCCAGGGAGAAGAACTGAAGGCAGTGTGTGCAAAGCAAGGGAAGCCATAGTGTGTTTGGGGACTATGTGGCCCTACTTGTGAGAGATAAAACAGGGAAATGGGGTGGGCCTCAGGTTTTGGAGGCTG